ACCTATCGACAAGCATCCTCGGATTCCAAATGGGTTCATGCAATGCAGGAAGAATATGATGCCCTCCGTCAAAATAATACTTGGACTTTAGTTCCTCACCATCCTTCAATGAATATTGTTGGCAGTCGATGGGTTTACAAAATCAAGGAAAAATCAGATGGTTCTGTTGAGCGTTTTAAAGCTCGCCTTGTCGCTCAGGGGTATACTCAACAAGAAGGTATTGATTTTGATGAAACATTTAGCCCCGTCGTTAAAGCTACTACGTTTCGCACTATTATCTCTATTGCGGTTTCTATGAAATGGAGTATTCGCCAACTTGATGTTAAAAATGCTTTCCTTCATGGTGTTCTTTCTAAGGAAGTCTATATGGCACAGCCTCCTGGATTTGTTCATCCTACTTATCCGCATCATGTGTGTAAATTACACAAGGCCATTTATGGGCTTCGACAAGCTCCAAGAGCATGGTTTCATCGCTTTAGCTCTACAATTATGGACGCTGGTTTCATTTGTAGCAAAGCAGATCCTTCTATGTTTGTCCTTAAATGCTCCCATGGCACCGTGCTTCTTCTTGTCTATGTTGATGATATTATTCTCACTGGCTCATCCGATTCTTTGTTGAGATCTGTGATTCGCTATTTGTCCTCTCGCTTTGCTATGAAGGATTTGGGGCCCTTACATTATTTTCTTGGCATAGAAGCAAAAAGAACTTTCTCTTCGCTTCAGCTTACTCAAACCAAATACGCTCTCTCTCTCCTATCGAAAATGAAGATGCTTGATTGTAAACCATGTTCCACTCCTGTCCCCAGTGGTCGAAAGTTGTCCATTCATGATGGTACTCTTTTGGAGGATCCTGCTCAATATCGTCAACTTGTTGGAGCATTACAATATCTCACTTTCACTCGTCCCGATATTACATATGCTGTCCAACAAGTATGCCAGTTTATGCATTGTCCTCGCGATCTTCATCTACAGGCAGCTAAACGCATACTTCGTTACTTGAAAGGCACTCTCGGGTTTGGTTTACAATTTTCTGTTACACCTTCTTTATCTCTCACTGGATTTGTTGATGCTGATTGGGCTGGTTGTCCTGATACACGACGCTCCACTATGGGTTATTGTGTATTTTTAGGCAACAATCTCATTTCTTGGTCTGCTAAGAAGCAAGCTAGTGTCTCACAGTCAAGTACTGAGGCCGAATATAAGGCTTTATCTACAGCTACCTCAGAACTGGTTTGGCTTTCTTATTTATTCCGCGACATTGGATTGCCCTTGTCTTTCATTCAGTTATATTCAGATAATATGGGTGCCACTCAACTTGCTGCCAATCCTGTTTTTCATGCAAGAACAAAACATATTGAGGTCTCTTATCACTTCATTCGCGATTTAGTTTTCAAAGGTTTCTTGACAATCCGTTTTGTTCGTTCCTCCAATCAGCTTGCAGATATCTTTACCAAAGGGCTCTCCACTCCTCTTTTCTCATCCTTTCGGACCAAGCTCATGTGGACTTCATCCCCATCAGCTTGAGGGGGCATATTAGAGACAAAGCAATACACATCCCTTTATTCCAGGGGGAACATCCCATATTGGGGAACATTCCATATTGTGGGACATCCCATATTTTAATGCATAGATTTAGGGGATATGTTAGGAATATGTGAGCCATCACTCACGTGCTTGACTTGACTTATGTGCACAACACTTTTGTATAAATATTGGTTATTGTGAATACAACATCATTAAAGTTTTCATCTCCATTCTTCTTCACTCCCTTGTGTTAACAAATGTTCACCATCCACATGTCATGAATTATAATAATATTCCCGGCTCTACCCGAAACACCATACTTGAAATTTTCTCAAATCTGTCACCGTATGTCCGATTGCTATTATCTCCTTCATGCTCAACTATTAGAGGAGAAGCTATGTGGAAGAACATAATTTCCCCATGGAAAATTGTACAATTTTTTTGCAAGTCACTATTACATACATGAACTTGACGTGGCCGTCATTCCCTCACTCCTAAATATGAAATTATCTCTTGATATAGTTGTCGCCCCGCCATACCCACCTACCAACCAAGTTCAAAGTTCCATCTTCAAGGCTTCATCTATTTGGCTCTGTGCAAGTTTCACCTTCCTCCAATTTGCGGAACCTGCATGACGATCCCAACCTGCAAATCAACTGAGTTGGACTTGTCCATGTATCGGTGGTTATAAATCCAATTTACATGATGTGTAACGTCCAACCCTGTCCGATCCTCCAATGCTCATTCTTAATTGAAAGGAGCAAAACAATAATGCTACGAGTACCAACTTGTATACCAACTAATTGATACCAATACATGTGGCACATGACATTGCAATCCTTGTCATTTGCCGTGTCATCTTTTTTTAACTACACATTTTGTTTTTGAAAAAGAAAAAAGAAAAAAGAAAAAAGAAAGAGAAATACCCATCAGTTTTGGTTCAACGGTGAGCCCTTCCCCAACCCCAAAAAAGCCCTAGAAACTCAATAATCACTCCTTCCATTGAAGAGCTCTCATCACACCCTGATTTGTTAAATCCTCAATGTTTTCAGACCAATCATAGTATGAATGTAATTGTCTTGTAGAATTTACAATAATATTAATAATCAACAAAGCAATGATAGTTTTCCAGCCAAGTTCAAAGAGAACCAGTGATTATAATCCAAAGAAAACCAAATATATGGGATGTGATCGGTGAGACTGCATATAGGATCCTATGATTCTTCTTCCTCGCCATACTCTCAACCAAATCCAGGAACCATAAATGTCCAAAACCCAAAATCAGAGATGGGCATCATCTTCATCTATAAATGCAACCATCATTTTGCTCTTTAATGAACAAAGAGATTTAAACTTAGATAAGGAGACATCATCATGGTGGTGGCGGTACTACGATGGAGGAGCTGTTGGCTGGGAATGGATGGTGTTGGGGTGGACGGTGGAGATGACTTTTGAAGAGATAAATATATAAAAGTTAAATAAATAAATTTAAGTTATTCAAATAAAATAGATAATGTGCATTAATTTAAGTTATTCAAATAAAATAGATGATGTGGCAACTGACTTGAATTGCCATGTAAATTGCCACATCAGTTGGTATAAAAAAGTTGATAAAAAGAGTTGGTGGCCGTAGCGCTATTGAGAGCAAAATTCAGTATTTATACAAGAAATTAATCCAACATGGAAAACTAAAAATACAAGAGAATCATACTAAAAATGGTAAATTAGAATGAAAAATACTAGGCTTACCACATTTTTCATACAACATTCATACCACCTCTCTAATAGAGATGGGCCCCATTGTATTGGTAGGCTCTACCTCTATTAAAGAGGTGGTATGAATGTGGTATGAAAAATGTGATAAGCCTAGCATTACCCAACTAGAATATATAAAGGAAACAATCAAGGGAGAAAATGAAGGAATTAAGAAATTAATCGAACATGGAAATAAAAGCCAAAGAAGTAAACAAGGCATGATGAATCATGATTGTGATATTCGAGGACATTTAACATTGAAACGAAGAAAGTGACAAAATCTTGGTATTATTTGACCCTTTTCAAACTTCGCTAGGAAAACAGCAAAGTTATGTAACCTCGTCTCCTTCAGTATGAATGGAGGGTGATGCTGTCAGTTTCATATTTTTCTTTTTTGTGTATTAAAAAAAACAGAGGAGAGTAGAGACTCAAACTCTCTTCTTTGTGTCTGTCTGCTTGATGCCTAATTCTGCGAGGTAATAATTTAAAGGAGGAACAAAACAAAATTAAATAAAAGGGGAAGCAAAAACAAAGATTATTTAGATTGGCATGAGTTGATCATAACTCAAAATTACTCAGGCAATGGAACAAAGCACCATCCTCCCTCACCAATCAGCTTCCCCTCTCCAATCGAAGACACAAACTCAACTCTCAACTCAGAACAAGATTCTTCAACACTCAATCCCCAAAGCCAGGCCCAAATTCTGGTCTTTCCAAACTGGTAAGGCACAACCAGGTCCATTTTCATTTCCAAACGAACCTCCTTCAGAGCTTCCTCTGTCGAAACCCCGAGCCCTTCCTCCCCACACTCACTCATATCAAATCTTATGAACAGCCCATTTGGACTCCTGAACTCAACGTCCACTGGCTTCACTGAGGCACACCACAGCGGTTCGAATTTCGGGTAGTACACGTAGCCCTGAAAGTGTTTGATGTGAACTTGCAGATCACTGTTTTGGCTGAACTTCAACTCTGCATCCCAAACAGCGCTCTGCATTTCAGAGACGGGTTTCGTTGTGTTTGAGACAGAGAAAGAGTGCTGAGCAATGGCGATGGGATATGTTCGAATGCCGCCGTTCAACGACAAACATACGGTGGTGACAAATGCAAGTAATGTGATGAGGATTGTGGCAGCGGCCAATTTCAAGTACATTTCTTCTGCCAGTGCCTTATGGCGACGAGACCGCAAAGGGCCCATTTTTGTTTTTCTGCAATGGGTTAAGGTTTAATGAGAGTATTGGGGGCAACTAATATTGAAATGACAGTCAAATTCAGAGAATCAGCGCACAATTTGGTACAAAATTTATGTCATTAATTCATGGAGGTCAAAAATGGATAAACTCAGTGTTAATGCTAATTGGCATTTGGCATAAACTCAATGATTTAATACAAGGGTGCTTAAAATTTAAAATGAGAGGAAAACGAGAAAATTAAATCACATTGATTTGATTTCCTTCTACGTGACATCCGTTACTTGTTGAGTTGATAATTCCTTATATAGCAAAACCTTCTACTTTTAAATCACAAGAATTTCTCACAAGTTGGGCCTTGCCTACTTTTTTCAAGTTCTCTGGCCCAAGTAAAAAGGACTCAATTTTTTGAAATGAACAACTTATCTCTATACGAAATTTACATTAGTCCCATTTCATGAGTTTATCTTCGCCTGCTATAATTCCTTAAAATTTCAGAGCCAGCCCTTACCTGCGGTAAGAACTGCATCATCATTTAGGTAATGGAATGGTGCACTTGCGGCCCCCATTTATCTTTCCCTCCCCTTTTGCACCCTCAAACTGAACCTTCAACCCTGAACAGTTAGGATTTAAAGTCACTTGGGTTCCCATTCCCAAAAGCTCCCTCATACTATAAGAAGCATCTATGCGCATTTTCAAACTAAAGCTAAGGTGACCACTCTTTCGATCTTCACTCAACTCCTTCATCACTCGATCCTCCACATACGGCTGTTCTCCTCTGCAACTTGTCGGATCAAATTTGATCTGCAGAGTTTTCTGTTTCCTTGGAGGAACATGCAGCATTGCATCCACAGAAGCACATGATAGAGCCTCACGTTCTTTATAGTACACATAACTCTCAAAGGGGTTGAGGGTAACAGTTAGGCCACCGTTTTGGTTCCCAAATGTCAACTTGGCCTCCCATTCAGCTGAGAATGACGAATTTGAAACCTCGAAATTCGATAAAGAAAATGCATCCAAACGAAGCACAAGGGGGTCTGTTCCTGGGCCGGACTTTGAATCCACATAGTTGCCTAAGAACCAGAGAGAAAATCCGATGGCTGTTGCTAGACTCACCACTATCACAGAAAGCAAGATGTATCCACGAATTTTACTGCAATCTGGAGACTTTTTGCACCACAAAGAAGCCATGCATAACTCTTCCTGAAAGAGAGAATACGAAGTTCATAATGGATATGTTAGGGAAATTTTCACTGATTATTCGGTGAAAGAGAATACTCGTGGTTCATAGTCTAGCAATATACAACATGTTAGAACATCATTTTTTATATATAATCTATAGACCAAATTAATGTTGTTAATTCCTCAATTTAAAAATACTATTTTACTAATTTCACCAAAAAAAAAAAAAATAGTGATCGGCCAAAGCTATAAAAAGTCTAAAAAGAAATTAGAAATAAAATGTAGTAGGTAGTTTGTTCAATAATTTTTTTTTTAGTACAAGTGATAGTCTAAACTAGAGGGGAGGGGAATTTCTCACACACACACTACTGTGATCCCACGGCATCACAGTAGTGTGTGTGTTTGTTCTTAATGCAGTACTGCAGGGGAAGATATATTTGTTGCTACAAACATACTTGTAAGACACTCTCCAAATAGATTATTCACTTGGTATAATTAATCAAATAAGAAGCTTCAAGAGGACAAATCAAAGAGACAATTTGCGAGACTTGGATTTTATAACCGTTCACCAAATTAGTTAACACTGATTTTGACAATTTAATTTCACCCAGAAGAAGTTCATAACAATTTAAGGATAGAGAAAGAAAGCCGTACCTTGTGATGCTAAGTTTTCTTGGTCTTGAATCAATCCAATATGTGTGAAGCAAAATTCCCAGTACTAATTATAAGTTACTGAATTGAAGAATTTATACTGGATGCGAGAAAGGTGGAGATGATGAGAGAGAAGGGAGAGGAACAAATGAGGGAAGAGGGCAGCGGTTAAAATCAAGTTGCGTTTGCAGGGCAATTATTTTATTTGTTTGGAAGGATATATATGCGTGGCAGTTGGGGACATTAATTTGGCTTTGGTGAAACGAAGTGATGTTTGCAGTTCGTGCCCTTTCACAAGTGCAAATAGTTTGGAAAGAGTCAAGTACATCTGAAAGGATAGACCCAATATCAACATTTTTTGCCTAAACTACAGAGGGAGAGGGTTTCTACTACCACGGTGCCGTGGAGTTCGATACCTGGAACCAATAGTTTGCAAGTTAAGGCATTTTTTAACTGGACTAGACTCTACTGGCATAAATTACAATTATAATGTAAGTGGAGGATCCAACCTAGAAACAATGAGTGGAGGAAATATTTTTACAAGGAGGATTAGTTGTTTTTAATAGAAAAAAATGAGATTTAAATTTGAGTTATATCCCGATCATTATTTTCTTTTCAGGGTGACTCTAGTCAATTAATAAAAATTCATTTGCACACCCAATATTTAATGAAATTTCTATAAGAATTTATCTACACAGCGTGTAAATTCTAGAAATCTTCTGTTTATTTCACTTATGTAGTGAAACATTTTCTATTTACACAGGTGCAGACAAAGATCATCAAAGAATTTCATAACATCACGTTCATATTCACCTTCAATTTTGATGCGTAAAACAATTTCATTTCTTTGTTCATAATTTACAGGTTCGATTTTGATTCTCCTACATCGATCAAATTAACAATCTAAAACTAAAACCTATAGATGAAAAAAGAAAGAAAAAGTCTAATTTGGTCAATTAATTAATATAGGAACCGAGCACATCATAGGCCCTCCACTAATCCAACTCCCGAACCCAATTCCACGCAAGAACCCAGCCTTCAAATCCAAACACTGAGGGCTCATCACAACATCTTGTGTTCCCCACCAACCAGTCCTATACGTAGCCCAAACAAACATTTGCATGCTAAAATGCACAGCTCCATCCTCACGTCTCCTGCTCATCATTTCATCCAAAACCCTCTTCTTCACCACCAGCTGATGATCACGATCCTCTTCCCTCAACCCCAAAGTCGATATCTTCACGCGCACTGTTCTTCGTTCCTTCAATCCCAACACGAATGGCTCGACGGAGCTTATCGCGAGGATGTTATCTTTGTACGAAATTGAACCCTTGATGTGGTTGAAACGAACCCATGTGACCAGGTTGGGGTTGTCTATTGTAAGGGTCATGTCCCAATTAGCCCCCAATGTTGTGTTGGAGATGTTAAATTTGGACATGAAGAGCGAGTTGAGTTGGACATTTGGGGCTTGTGGATGAACTTGGGACAACAAGGACATGAAAATGCATAGCAATGCCAAGGTCCCAAATATTAATAATGTAGGTGATAATAGAATAATGGGTTGGAAGAGGGATGATTTGGACATGCGTCGTGATTTAAGAGACTGCGAAACGTTGTCGTTTGAAGGGCTATATGAAACTGGAAGCAGAGGCATGGTGGCTGAGTGCTGATTAGCTTTTGCATTGATTTCCATGGCTGATAGGAAATTGAGAGAGAAAGAGAGATGGGATTGAGGAAATGTGTGAAAGAGAGTTGGGATATAAAGTAAAGGCCATATATAGAAACTGTATAACCACTAGAGATTGTTAAAAAAAACTAAATAACTACTAAAAACGGTTAAAAACCTGAATAACTAGATTCTAACAAACATGCGAAAGAAGATTTCTAAACTTCATTAATTTGATAACCGATAAAACTGTTAGTTTGCTTGAATAGTGATATCCGTTAAACATCATTAGTTAATGAAATTAATTCACGGTGATTTCGCAATGGTTCATAACCTGAACTTATACATTGTTTGGTTAACCGTGGGGGAGTGGCTGGCGGTGGCGGCAGCGTGACGCTGGGATTAAATTGTTGCGGTGGCTCTTGAATTCTCACAAGTACTAAATTAGAAAGTTATTGAGGATGTTAAAAATAGATATGATGTGACAAGTGAATATTAGTAATTAAATTAGTTGGTGACAGTAGGATTTAAGGTATAATCTAATCAAATTACATATATTAATAAATGTAATGTAAAATAAAAATTAAATTGTAAGTAAGAGTGTTTTGGATCTAAAATGGACTAAACATAACTTCGATTGACTTAAAATTAATCAAAATTTATTCAATCGCACGTGTATGAGAGCAAAAAAGTATGAACACAACTATATTCAACCTGCTAAAGGCCTTCAAAATGATCAAAAGTGCATTTGATTGGACTGGATTAGTCAGTTTAGGCCATTTTGATTGGATTTTAAGCACCCATGGTCATTTGAAAGCCAAATTTCTTTATAAAGTGTCCAAACTTAAGTTTCAACCTCTCCTCTCTTCAAAGCTATCTACTTCCAAGTAATTCGACATCAAACTAGCTAGGTCACGCGAGTATTTCCACATCGTTAGAGTGCACAAAAAAAACCCAAAAAAGGGTTTCATTTTAAGAGTTCATCTAAAGTTTAATGTGCCAATTAAACAAATATAATAGAATTAGATGTCCAAATTCCACAAATCCATCTGTTCCTTTTTAAAATTTTGGTATGTGTGGTGAAAGCCTCTATTTCGTTAACTATATTTTGAAGGCATCTAGTTAAAATATTTCTAATAGTATGTGCATAAAAAGCATCCTCGATTGCGTTTAGGTAATACATCCACATAGAAAAGGCCTTTTACAAGCATCTAAAAATTTCATAGAGACACAGTTTTATAAGTCCTCCATGCGAAAACATCACCAAAATATTCGTACGTATATAACTTTACTTCTACTCTGATAGATTCCCGTTGGAAACAAAGCTCAACTATACTTTTAATTTGCAAGATCCTTCTACATCGTAACATTACATTACAACCTCCAATTAATAAGCTTAATTTAGGCCCCCTTGTATTGCAACTAAAACCAAAAAGCCTAACTAGGTTACTTGAAAAAGAAAAAAGAAATTCAAATTTAGTCAATTAGCATGGGAACTGCGCAAGTCATAGGCCCTCCACTAATCCAGCTTCCGAACCCAACTTTAGGCAAGAAGCCAACCCTCAAATCCAAACATTGAGGGTTCATTAAAACAGACTTTGTCCCCCACCAACCGGTCCTATACGTAGCCCGTGCAAACATTTCCAGGCTGAAATTCACAGCACCATCTTCACGTTGCCTATGGATTTCTTCCAAAACCCTCTCCTTCACAACCGGCTGATCTTCCTGTAATCCATTCGCGGATATCTTCACTCGCATCATTCTATGTTCCTTCAATCCCAGTACGAAAGGGTCCAACGAGTATGTCATGAGAGCGTTATCTTTGTAAGAAATCGAACCATCTATGCGGTCAAAGTGAATCCACGAGACTAGATTAGGGTTCTCTATTGTGAAGGCCACGTCAAAGTTGGCCCCTAGCTTTGTGTTTGAGACGTTAATTTTCAACATGAAGAGAGAGTTGAGTTTGATTTTCGGGGGCTGTGGAACTAGGGATGTGGCCATGGCTACGCATAGCAACGTGACGATCCCTAACACGAACAACAAAATCTGGTGGAGAAGTACTATTTTTGCAGTGAATCGAGATGTGATAGACAGAGATATGTGAGGGTTTGAAATTGAAGGGTTGTATGAAACTGGGAGTAGTGGCATTGTAGCTGAGCGCTGTGCTGTTCTATTAAAATCCATGGATAATAGAAACTTATGCTTGTAATGCAATAATCAAGCTTACTAGGGTTTCGGGGAGAAAGAGAGATGGGTATGAAGAAATGGGGGAAGGAAAGTTGATATAAAGGAGAAGGGTAAAACTAATTAACTACTACAGAATAGAAGGTTATAAACTGAAACTGAGTCCAACTAACATTTGCTAAAAGGGAGTAACGAATAACTACTTGATTTTCTAAATGTCAGTCATTTGATAACAAATAAAATGGTTAGCTGAGCTAAAACTCTAGAAGTAGAAGGTTGTTCAAGTGTCAACCTACATACTTAATCATACGTGAGAGAAACAATTCACGATTATTCGTACAGGATTTAATAGCAAGGTTGTTTGAAGTATCAATGGGGCCATCTCTGAGATTTATAAGCAGCCTTAAAAAAACAAAAAAAAATTAAATGCTCTTTTTAGCACTTCAATTTATTAGACAAAATAGTGCATGGACGATCTAAACCAAGTCAAATCAAACACATATAATTAGGAGCGAGAGTCTTTACCTATGATCTGAGTAAAAAGTAGACCAAACACTATCATTAAGGTTGTTTTCCTATCAATGTAGAAAGTTCGGCACCATTTTTTGGAAATGTTTTCACAAAATATTTTCAAAAGTGAAAACAAAAGAATGAAATTGTGTTTCCAAAATTGGAGAATCTGTTCAGCCAAAACATTTCCCAACATCACTCACTCTCTCTCTCTCTCTCTCTCTCTCTCTCTCGGTTCGCCAATCTTACTCAGATTGGTTTGTTGAGAGTTTGTCTCACATTGAAAAGTTACCCAACCTGGATTTATAAGAGTTGATGGTGGGTTCGATTGGATGAGGTTTGACTAGGTGATGGGGCCACCTAAGTTTTTTCATTCGTGCATTTTTAAAATTTTATAATCCACGTCTTTTTGTTAAATTTTATAATGAAAAGGAGTTTCATATATGCACCATTCTAGAGATCTTATATACGTTTACTTTCTTTGTGTGTGGTGAATTTTTTTTTCTTCTTATGATTTGATTAAAAATATAGCCACAAACGTTTAGTGGAAAGGTTTTGTAATTGTGATATCCTTTTCAATTTACAAATGGATAAAGATAAAAAAGAATGTTCACATTGTCTCCAATTTTGATGCATGCATTAATCCCTTGAGAAGAAAAGACAAGTTCTTCCTTGTTCATAATTTACAAGCTTCATCTACATCCATCAAATTACAGTCTCAGACTAAAAACCCTAGTCCTGCCTAAAAAAATTCAACAACTTTCCGATTTAATCAACTAGCATACGAACCAGTCGAGCAAGTCATCGGCCCTCCACTGATCCAGCTACCGAACTCAACTTTAGGCAAGAAACCAACCCTCAAATCCAAACAGTGAGCCTCCATGATGACAACTTCTGTTCCCCACCAACCCTTCTTATATGTAGCCCATGCAAACATTTCCATCTTCAAACTCACAGCACCATCTTCACGTTGCCTATTCATTTCTTCCAAATCCGACACCTTCATCGCCTGCTGATCCTGTAATCCGGTCCTCGATATCTTCACACGCAGCAATCTTTGTTCCTTCAATCCCAAGTCAAATGGCTCGACAGAGTATATCGCGAGAGAGTTGTCCTTGTACAGAATTGAACCCTCTATGCGGTCGAATTGAACCCAAGAGACCACATTGGGGTTTTCTGCTAACATTATAGAATTTAGAGAAAAGAATAGAAGAATACTTGAGAGAAAAATCAGAGGAGTAAATCAGAATTGTTATTAAGAAAAAGCCACGAGATATGAAGTCGCTCAGACTTTTTATACATAACAGTTTTGCTTAATCTCTAAGTAAACTTTGTAACTAACTCACATGAATATTACAGCTGTTACAGCTGTGAGCTACACGTGATAGACCCACTTGCCTTAGCTAATAACAGATAGCTAACCAATACTATAAGCTAAGCTAACTAATTCTTATTTTGGTAAACATCCCCCCTCAATCTCAGCTGGGATACCCAGTCTGAGATTGATACAATGTTTAACAAACACAGGGCCATGTAAACCCTTGGTAAGGATGTCTGCAATTTGCTCTTCAGTAGGAATGTATTGCACCAAGATATCCCTGCGTTGAACTCGTTCTCTAATAAAATGAAAATCTATATCTAAGTGTTTTATCCGAGAATGTTGCACAGGATTTGAACTGAGAGCTAAGGCAGAAAGGTTGTCATAGAACAGTAATGGAGGCTCAGGAAGGTACTCATGTAAATCAGCCAAGACTTGTCGAACCCAAGCAATATCGGCAGCTGTATTGGCAAGTGCCCTATACTCTGCTTCTGTAGAGCTTCGAGAAACCGACCCTTGCTTCTTAGATTGCCAAGACACTGGATTTGAACCAATGAAAACCACAAAGCCAGTTGTAGATCTGCGTGTAGATGGATCTCCTGCCCAGTCTGCATCACTGTAAGCATGAAGGTGCATATCACCAGGAGAGAAGGTAATACCATACTCCATAGTGCCTTGTATATACCGTAGGATGCGCTTAACCAACAAGAAATGAGTCTCAGAAGGATTTGTCATATACTGGCAAACAGTATTCACAGAATATGCTAAGTCTGGCCTTGTAAAAGTCAGATACTGAAGAGCACCAACAATGCTACGATATACAGATGGATCTTTCAATTGGTCTCCTTCAGTCGTAAGAACTTGTGTATAAGGCTTACAAGGGGTGGAACAAGCTTTACAAGTTGTCATACCAGCTTTTGCTAGTAGTTCCTTTGCATACTTTTGCTGGCTAACAAAAATTGAACCTGTACTCAGATAAGAGATCTGTAAGCCCAAGAAATATGTTAACTGCCCCATATCTTTCATCTCAAATACAGAACTTAACTCCTCAATTGTAGTTTGAACAAGACTTGGACTGGAACCTGTAAGGATAATATCGTCGACGTATAACAAAAGAATAACTATTTCAGAACCTTCTTTCTTAACAAACAAGCTGGGATCAGACTGAGAAGCTTTGAAACCAATGGCAGGCAGGTATCCTGTGAATTTGGCATTCCATGCCCTAGGGGCTTGCTTTAAGCCATAAAGAGATTTGCGTAACTTGCAAACATATCGAGGATGAGTTGAGTCCTCGAAACCTTGAGGTTGCTTCATATAAACCTCTTCCTCAAGGTCTCCATGTAAAAATGCGTTCTTTACATCCAATTGTCTTAACTACCAACCATGCATAGCAGCTAAGCTAAGAATAAGCCTTACAGTTGTGTGTCTAACAACAGGACTGAAGGTTTCTGAATAATTGAATCCCTGAGTTTGACTAAAACCTTGTGCCACTAGCCGAGCTTTGTACCTAGACACACTCCCATCTGAATTTCTTTTCACCTTGTAAATCCACTTGCTACCAACTATATTCACACCAGGAGTAGGAGAAACCAGTGTCCAAGTACCCTGAATATTCAAAGCTGAGATTTCCTCTTGCATAGCAGTGGCCCACTCAGGAGAATACCGAGCAACTTTATAACTAGATGGTTCATCCAGTTCAGTCAAAGCAAGTAAACTAGTGTGATAACACTCATAATCTGGAAAATCTTTTCTTTGAATGACACCAGACTTTGATCTAGTTTGCATAGAATGATTATTAATAGGAGAGATATCTGAAGCACTAGAGGAATCAAGACTAGGAAACAACACGTCCAATTGTTGATTAGGAAGAACTGGCAGATCAGTGGGAATTGGCGCTGGATCATGAACAATAGATGGAGAAGAGAATAGTAATGTGCTTGGGCCTGAGGAAGAAGACACAGAGACAATAGGAACAGGAGGAGGGGCTGGAGAATCAGACAACGGAGGAGGAACACCTGTGTGAGACAATATAGGTAAAACCACAGAGACATGTGCACTAGAGGGTGATGCAACTGAAGATGAAGATGAGCCTAAAACAGGGACACCTTGTTTAAAAGGAAATATGCTTTCATCATGAACAACATCCCTAGACATAAGCAACTTGGCAATAGACATATTGAAACAAAGAATGCCTTTATATCCCATGAGGTAGCCTAGGAAAACACATAATGTAGTTCGAGCTTGAAGCTTGTTCTGATTGATGGATCTGAGACAGGGATACACAGCAGTACCAAAAATCCTTAAATGCTGAATATCTGGATGTTGATGAAATAACCGAAAATAAGGAGACTTGTGATCAAGAACTTTGCTAGGCATGCGATTGATAAGAAATATAGAGTGAGACATAGCATGAAACCAAAAATGCTGAGGAAGAGAAGCCTCTGACAATAAGGTAATTGCAGTCTCAACCAGATGTCTGTTCTTCCTCTCGGCTAAACCATTTTGTTGAGGTTTGTAAGGACAAGAAAACTGATGCATGATGCCTCTGGAGCTAAAAAACTCATGAAATCGATTGCTAACATATTCACCTCCCCCATCACTTTGAAAATACTGAATAACTGCTGAGAATTGATTCACCACAAAAGCATAAAACTTCATAAAATGAGAGAACACCTCTGACTTTGTAAACATCGGATAGATCCAAGAAACCCGTAAACTCATCAATGAAAGTAACAATATATCGATATCCTTGAAAAGATTTACAAGGGGATGGTCCCCATACATCGCTATGAATCCGATGAAAGGGAGTTACAGCTTTATTATGCTGAGTAGGAAAAGGTAAACTATGCATTTTACCACTCAAACAATACTGGCAAATGTGAGGGTGAGAATCTACTAGGAGAGGTAAGCTAGCAGACTTAAGCATATTATGAACAACTTCATTAGTAGGATGGCCTAACCTACTGTGCCACAAGGAGAACTTGACTTG